GGGGGTGGGAGGGGGGAACATTGGCTGCACTTAAATTTCAACTCTTCGATTTGAGATTTTCTGCACAACGATATTTAATTGGTATCGATAATTTTAATATAGGGTCGATATTGTTTATGTAGGTATCGATAAGATATAATATTATACATATATATACGAGTATCACAACATGGCCCTTAGCGGGGTTACAGGAAAAAGTAGGTACCTATTCTGTTCGCCAAATTGCTACCTCATAATTACTAAGTTCTATCTGAATTTTTGGCCGTTTTGAGTTACTACGACCACGCGGCCAGAAACTTAATGTTCCATCTGCTCTATCAAAATCGTAAGATCATTCGGAGTCGTTATCAAGCGATTCAATTAATTACATTCGAAAAATCTTGACATGATGTGAAACTCAGAATAGTTGACATCAAACTTCTCAAAACCAGGTACTGAGCAGATAGATCTCTGTAATTCAGAGGTAGCGAAATATCACGCTATTGACTGTATTATGATAGGTACCTCCCACTGCTCAAAACGGGAAGGTGGAAGTAAGATTTAGAACAGGAAGATGATATGCTGATTAAAATCCGTTTGGATAAAAATGTGACTAAACCACAGAATTCTGTAAAATTCTGTGGACTAAACTGAAGTCGGGCAAAAGCTAAAACTCGTTTATAAGAGCTATTAACAGATTATGTTGCACAATCCTGGAGCATTATCTCTCTAAAAGCTCAAGCGACTCCATTATTCCAGACTGATATTAATTATTGAATAGCAAATATATTCTCTCAACTAAAATGCGTTTTAATGTAGGGGTTTTCACGCCCCTACCAATACAATTTAGGTCATTTAGGAGGCAGGCTGCGAAACTGCCAAGCGGCGAGAACCCAGGCTGAGAGGGACACAACATTGTAACAGAAAGACTGGGATATTCGGTGATAAAAGTTCTCCCAACTCAGGAATCGAACTCCGGTCTCCTGCGTACGTTCTTGCTTGTTCAGACAGAATACTATCAAGTAATATAAAGACGTGAGAGTGAGGGAGTAACATGTACACCAACAGTAACCTCTAGTATTCCAGTTTTTCTCCGTGATGAGTAGGGATGTTTTATGTTTTGGTCGTGTTTTACGGCACTTGCAACACAATAAGGTTATATAAGTGCCAAAGATTAGAGGTGAACACAAGAGAGTAACAAGCACAAAAAGAAGGAGGATAGATAAGGACGATAGATGTTCAATAGGAAAAAAAAAAGCAAACCACACCAGAGCACCCGCCAACAACCCACAAAGTAGGGACGACAGAGTAAGTAAGTTTATTCAGTGTTTAAGACCATTGGCCCACACCACATGACATAAAACACTCATTTGTTAAATAAAGTTTCCATAATGAAAGAGTACAGGTTGGGCGCATATCTTTATCATGGGTGAAACATTGCACATATTTCTGTTTCTGGGCCGAGTCAGGCTGGGAGGAATGGACAATTTCCTTTTATGGACAAAATATGGACAATAGAAAACAAAGTGAAATTCATCTTTTATTTCATGAGAGTTACCTCTCTCAAGGCATAAGGGTGAATTTATTAATTTCCACCAATATAGATTGTCATTTAATGGAAGGCTATAGGTTTCTAACAAGGCTTTGACTCTTCTGTTCCAATGCAGTGGGAGGGATGATGATATACTCAGCTGTTTCTTGAAATGGAATTGTAAGAGAGAATAAATTATACTCGAGACAGGCTTCTTCCTCTATGTTCTGCACATAATGATCAACAAGCCTACTTTTTACTTCTCTGAGAAATAATCTAGTGCTTTCAACACTTTGAGAAATCCAGGCATATCCGAAACCCAAGGACGACAGAAATAGAAAATCGTGACTATTCCTGAATTAAAGGTCAACAAAGTTTTTCTTACTAATATTCGGACAAGCTGTATTTGGTATCGATAACTAGGTAATCGTTTGACGCAGATGGGCCCCCGGGTGGAGATTTCGAAAATTTAAAAAAAAATCATAGGAAGTAAAGTTAACAAAAAGCTTGCATCACTAAGGACAACACCT